ACTTTGGGATGCCCACCTCGAGGTGCTCGCCTTGTGATGCCCACCTCAAGGTGCCCACCTCGGGATGCCCACCTTGAGGTGCCCACTTTGGGGTGCCTGCCTTGTGATGCCCACCTCGAGGTGCCCACTTTGGGATGCCCACCTCGGGGTGCCCACTTCGAGGTGCCCACCTCGGGGTGCCCACCTTGTCATGTCCACCTTGGGGTGCCCACTTTGGGATGCCCACCTCGAGGTGCTCGCCTTGTGACGCCCGCCTTGTGACGCCCACCTTGTGACGCCCACCTTGTGACGCCCAATTTGGGATGCCCACCTCGGGGTGCCCACCTTGTGATGCCCACCTTGTGACGCCCAATTTGGGATGCCCACCTCGGGGTGCCCGTCTTGTGACGCCCACCTTGTGACGCCCAATTTGGGGTGCCCACCTTGTGATGCCCACCTCGGGGTGCCCACCTCGGGGTGCCCACCTTGTGATGCCCACCTCGTGATGCCTACCTCCCCCCCGGTGCTCCCTGCAGGGCTGCAGTACAACCTGGTGCGCGTCCCCATGGCCAGCTGTGATTTCTCCCTGCACGCCTACACCTACGACGACGTCCCCGACGACTTCGAGCTGCGCCACTTCGCTCTGCGGGACGAGGACACGAAACTGAAGGCGAGCAGAGCAGGGGGGCATCGAGGGGGCGATGGAGGGTGGGAGGTTTGGGGACTGGGGGGGGTCTGAGCCGTGCTGTGCCCCCATTGCAGATCCCCCTCCTGCACCGCGCCGCCGCCGTAGCCAAGCACCCGCTGTCCATCTATGGCAGCCCATGGACGGCCCCGGTGTGGATGAAGACCAGCGGGTCGTTTGTGGGGAAGGGGACGTTGAAGGGGCAGGCGGGGGGCAAATACCACCGTGCCTGGGCCAAATATTTCATCAGGTACCACGTGGAGGACGGGGGGTTGGGGACAAAGGGTGACACGGATGCTCGGCCAACATCCCCAAGCTCCTCTCTGCAGGTTCCTGGATGAATACGCCAAGCACAACGTCACCTTCTGGGCGCTGACGGCAGAGAATGAACCCACGGCTGGGTTGATTAATAATTACCCCTTCCAGTGCCTGGGTTTCACAGCTGAGCAGCAGAGGGATTTTATCGCCCGCGACCTCGGCCCGGCGTTGGCCAACAGCTCCCATCACGACGTGCAGCTCATCATCCTGGATGACAACCGGCTCCACCTCCCGCACTGGGCCAAAGTGGTGAGGGGTGGGTGGGCTGCTGGGGTCTCTGGTGGGGAGGAGAGGTTGGGAAATGCAGGGAGGT